CATTTTACAAAATACAGTAGTCATGTTTCTTTTTAAAGCTACAGTGTGTAATTTTCAGCGACATCTAACATCCAGACTGCAGACCGCAGCAACATGAACATCTCCCCCCCACCGCTTCTCCCCCCCAACAGTACGGCGAGCGTTACGGGACAAAATGTCTTCCACGACGTCCGCATCACCTACCTTCTCAAGTGATGAGGTTTGTTTACATAGATAATTTTACAGATAGTATTTCATTAGTCTGTGTAGGGTATAGATTTCATGTAGACTTAAACAACTTGCCGTAGTTACTTTCGAGCGTAATGGGCGATCTCGCAATCGCTAGTTTGTTGGCTCTGCGCTGGCGTAGTGCAAAGATGTCTGCCTCCATGGCTGCGAGACCCGCTCCTATGTAATTATAAATAACGAATTCTAAGGCAACGCAAATATTAAGGTTAAGAGGCTGAGCTCGTAGATGATGATAAATAACATAGTTATGTATAATATATTACATTTCTGACTGTATATCCCTGTAATTATTACACACTGTAGCTTTAAGTGAACAAAGTATTTAAAAATACAAAATCAACAGAAGTTTTAATACCAGAGCAATTCTCTTTGTAAACAAAATGATGAAATCGAACGTTCACTTTTAAACAGGTGCAAACGGCCCTTAAGACTAGAAAATTACGAAAGAGTCTAGCATAAATGTGAGTTTGAAACTCCTGATTTAGATGGAGAGAGAGCAAGACTTGGAGCAGATAACAAGAAGACAGAACAAAGTTCACCACATGTGCTCAGTTTTTATCCACTGGAGCAAGAGAGACCAAAGTGTGGCCCATGGGTCCATTTGGAGCTGAATCAATTGTAGATTTCCCAACTATAATTCAAATGTGGCTTAAACCTGAGTTAAGACCAGCAGTTGGTGCAGATGGACACCATTTGTATCATTTGAAGTTATCACTGACAAGTCAAAAATCTCCTTCTAATAAAAAATATCCCATAAAGCACGAAGGATTTTACTCAAAAGCCAACTTGGGTATATTAACTAATTAAACCTAGAAAAACTCAACAAGTAGTATATCATAAAATTGAAAAAAGAAATCACAATATCACAATAACATTTATCACGTTTATCAGGTCAGTTAAACGAGACCACTATTATATTACAGATATAGAAAAGTTTACAGGTTAGACAGGTTAATTCAATTCCAAAATACTCTATTAATTCCAAAGGGAAATTAAATGCTGCAGTAGCTCATGTTTTTTTTTATTATACATTAATATGAACATTTATTATAACTATTTATTATTTTTAACCAGGTGTTGTAGGTGTTGATACTAGCTGTAGCCAGGAAGGATCTCCTGTAGTGGTCTGTCTTGCACCATATCTGGTAAGCCCTCTGTTGTTGTTTATAAATCTTCTGAAGAGTATGCTTTCTGTTGTCCATAATCTTATTCACTTTGTGAATAAATGTTCTTTGCTAAATAATCTCCAGAGGTTCTAGAGGAGTTCCTAGAACAGAGTTGAACTTATTAATTAGCTTGTTGAGCTTTTTTAAGTAATTAGCTCTAATAATGTTACTCCTGAGGATAGAAGAAGAGATCACACTTTCCAAAACAGACTTATACAAGATATGCTGCATATTTCTGCCAACGCCAAAGAACCTAAGCTTCCTTAGGAAGTAATCTTCACTGTCCCTTATCAGTTGTATTTCCATCTTGCTTATTGTCCAGGTGAACACCACAGTATTTATACTCCTAAACTACATCTACATCTTCACCTCACATGTTAATAGGTTTCAACTTGTTAATGTTTCTTCTGAAATCTACAATCATCTCCATTGTTTTGTTGACATTCAGGATCAGATGTTTGTTTCCACAGCATGCCAGTATTTCTGCAGATGACAGGACTCTGCCTGGTACTGGAAGTCAGAGGTATACAGAGTAAAAAGAAATGGTGAGAGTAACGGCCCCTGTGGTGCTCCTGTTCTGCTGACTAACTTGATTAGACAGCTGACCCTTCATTCTAGCAAACTGTGGTCTGTTTGTCAGGTAGTCTTTTATCCAGGTGATTGTTGATGCCTCCATCTGAGTCTGATAGAGTTTCTCACAAAGTGAATCAGGATGAATTATTTTAAATGCCCTGGAGAAATCAAAGAAGGTGATCCTCATGGGGCTCTCTACCTTGTCTAAATGGCAGTGGGTTTGTTAAAGCAGGTGTATGATGGCTTCGTCAACCTCGACTCCACGACAATGAGCAAACGGCAGGGATTCCTGATAGATGCTTGTTTGCTTGCTGAGGTGAACCAACAGAAGTCTCTCTATAAACAATTACCTGTAATCAATTTGCATTTGTTATAAAATAATGGTATTGAACAGGAAGTGTTGACTGTTGAACCCGGATAGAGCGTAATCTACTATAATCCTCATAAAAATAATCCATGATTCTAAACAGTTTGAAAGGAGAGATGAAATATTCAGAATAATTTTTTTAATATCTACTTATGTTTTAGCCACTAGGGGGCACTGGACCTGTAAGTTCCAGGTTTGGTTCACCTGAATGGCCACAGACAACACAACACTGCCGCAAAATTAAACAACCTTTCTCTTTACAATCTAATAGCAGACCACTTTGGACCAGCACATTGAGAAGTGATATATTTAATTGTAAAGACAAGGCCACATCTACCTGCTTAGATTTAATTCTACTTCACAGAACCAGAAATATGTCTGAGCAGGTAAGTGTTATAATTATGTTGCTGCCTTTGGTGTTTAAGAGAACTCAGATTGTCTTAAAGAGCTGCTCTGGGTCACATGATTCATTCGGTGACAAATTTCAACCCTATCAAGCTACATATGCTTGGTTATTTTTGTAACAGCAACCCATATGGAGCATTGATGTGCTCAAAGTGCTCCATATTAGTCAGACAAATCATTTAATATATCTCAAATTAAGCAACTCTTTGGTCAGAAGTTACACAGTGTACATTTAAAAAAGAAACGATACAATTATTATGAACTGGTCAGAATTCAAAATAAAATTCTTAGCTGAATGAATTCAAATTTAGATTCAATTTGACACAAACTGACCATGATATCTTTGCCAAAATACAACCAAGAGAAATATAAAATAATCCGGACACAAAAGATTGTTTTTCAGTTTTAGGTATTTGATCAATAAGTTGACCTATCATCCAAAATATTCATTTAGTTTGCAGGTTTGCTCTTTCTAAAATCAAAATCAATGTGAGTTTTTCAAAAGGCAGTTATAACGTGAGCATAAATGAGCAAATTTGAACGATCTATTTGGCTTTGTGACATTTGTGTGTGTGTGATTGGAGAAATGCACTACAGCGCAGAGGTCAGGTCTCCTCCCTCACTGCAATGAGATCCTGGGTTAAGAAAAAAACCTGTAGAATTTGCATCTTCTTCTCTGATGCATGTTATCTTTATGTTTTCCTTCAGGTATTCAAGGTTCCCTGAACAGCAGAAAAGATGAAGCATGTTAGAAGATAAATTGCCGTGAACTAGGAGCATGTTGTAAGGTCATAGCTATTTGTCTATCAGCCCTGCAACAGACCGATGACCTGTCCAGGATGTATTCCTCCTCTTTCCCAGTGGGGGCTGGGATAAACTCAAACTATTCCACAGCACTGAGCAGAATGCAGCAGATATTAACAGATGTAGTTACTCTTGCTAGACTCATTATTTAAAAGAAACATGCAACTTTGTGCATGCATACTTTAAAAAAGAGATCGTAGAGATTCAAAGGCAGAGTATTTTAAAATTCACCTAAAACAACGTTTGTTTTAGGTGAATTTCAAAATACTCTGCCTTTGTTTCTGCTCTGCGGTTACCACATCAACAATTTGAAGTGAACTCTTAAAAGCCTAAATTACAGAGGATAGGAAGCACTCCCCTAATGTACCCTCACTTCAGGATGAGACAGGTGTAGGTGTGCTGCTCTAATGATCCTGGTTAAAACACATCCGCAAACCACACATGGCCCTGCAACAATATCCAGGGTGATATCATCCACAAACATGCACCTACACATACACCTACATGGATGAATACCCAAACACAGAAGCGTATGCACACCTACAAATTCACACAGGCACAGCAGAAGTCAGGTAAGGCTAGGCAGCACCGGTGAGGTCCATGAGGGAGTAAAAAAAAAAAGAAGGGGGGGGGGGGTAGTTCATGAGGCAATTACGCTCCCCTTAGAGCCAGTCATGAGTGTCTGTACCAGTGTCCCTGCAAATGTGTTAACAATTGTTTCCCCTAAAACTCCTAAACACACAAAAAACACACTTTAAGGATGAGGGGGGTGGGGGGAACAACACAATCTCCTAATTTTAGGCATCCAGATGAGTCAATGTATGGATGCTGCTGCTGCATTCAGAGCAACACAGAAGGAACAAAATGGGAGGGAGGGTTCTGTTGCATTATGTTGAGGCGTTACTGTATTGTATGCATGCATGGCATCAGATGAGAGTGAACACCCCCGTGATAAACCCAGTCTACCCCACTGCAGCACAAACAACACTGGCATAATGAAAGCGCCTGAAATGCCTCATTCACCCCCCCCCCACCCCCCGTTTTTACGCAAAGAGGGTGCTGATCCTAGAGATGCGGCACCAGTCACCATTTTCCCCCTTAAAGAGGCGGAGAGGCAGACAATAGCTGGTATGAAATGATCAACAATGCGGAGGGTTTTTCTTTTTTTTTTTTTCTTAATCATCTCAATAAATAAACAGAAGCTCAGCAGTAAAGCGCAGACATTGCAGTGCCACACATGCGCCTTAGCAGCGCAAATGTGGAATCACTGAAAGCCTCAACATGCACCTGTTAATAACTGTTATACATGCAGTGAACGTTGGCATCATTTTAATGGGATTTACAACCTGAAAATAAGTCAATTAATTACCAGGAGACGATATTATAAGCTTTCCATCCAATTTAACATTTCCCTTAACTAACAAGACAAAGATAGGTGTTTGTTTGTTTGTTTTTACCTTGGTTTTCTTCTCCCAGTTCCCAGTGATCCCACACCAAATGTGTCACCTTACATGTTTCATTGTAATTCCCAGTTCTGGAGAAGGGGGAATTGATAAGCCGCAGTGACGCGTCTCCTCCAGGATAATAAACAGAAACAAAGCGTAGTGGTGGAGCGCATAAAAAAAAAAAAGCGGCTCGGCGCAGTAATCCTTCACGTTAGTTCAGATCGGGGAACGTGTGACCCGCACCGAGGCTCCTGGTGCGTGGCTGATGTTGCTTCCTCGCCTGCCTCACTGGAAGATGTTCCACTACTGAGCGCTGCTCTGCTCCGTGGCCAACTCATTGATTGGTTAATGTGGCATTTCCTTACGTTCGCATTCCCGAACTGCTGGGGACGATTAACCAATCAGACGGCGGATAGATCCAATGATCATGTCTGATTGGTTGAGGCGCCTTCGAAGCCTTTGCTCCCGGTAAACGCGCCCTTGTGAGCGCTCACAGCCATGTAAATATTAATGCACTGATGGGAAATGTTGAGCTGTGCTCATTAACTTATGGATTAGACTTCCAGCTTTATGAACCCAATGATCGGCAGCCATACATCACCTCACTTCTATGAACAAACTGCAGTCCTTATAGAGTTTTTGGGAAGTTTAAACTCATTTATCCACTTCTAGGTCCTGACTGTAAATGATGACCTCATGTTTTAACTGTAATTATAATGATACATATGATATATACTGTGAATATCAGATGACTTCTGGTAAATTTTTGAGCACAGGCGGTTCTAGACAGGGGGCCGAAAGGACCAGTGCCCCTGTAAATCCTGTCCTGGCCCCTGTTATGGCTCTTCCGCTGAAATCTTACACTGGGAAATTGTAGTATAAGAACTAGAATCTATATTAATATAAGTTTTATTTTCCTTGATTTAAGTAATTTTATATTTAAAATAAGAAAAACGACTCCATTATCATATTTGAAGTGCATAATATCTTAATATCTTATGTTAAGGGCAACATACTGAATTCCTTTGGCAGAGCATCTTATCAACCTGATCAAATTAAAGGCAAATACAGTTATAAATTTTTTTTATTTTTAAGATCAGTTTTTGCAGAGTAATACTAAATAATTTCCCTATGACGATCATAGAGACCGTGGTCTCTTATGGTGAAGGGACCATAACTGATGTGTCCCAATTGGACAAATTTTGTATTTTGCCTTTAAAACTTCAACAGTTATTTAAAAATTATAATCATATAATTCAAGCTTCAGTCATGTTGAAAATAGGATCACAGTTTCTATCTGTTGGATGAAATGGGTCTGTAAGCTTGGCTTTGTGGCTCACCTACTATACTAAATGATGAATTCTTGCCTGTTTTTTTATTGTTTTTTTGTGTTTTGTTTTATTGTTTTGTTTTGAGAGTGTGATGTAGTTCTTTAGTTCTGTGCCCCTAAGAAGGAAACACTTGCCCGAGTCTGGCCCCCTTGTAAGGTTAGTCTAAAACCATCACTGTGTTTGAGCCAAATAAGTCAAATTCCTACCTCCACAAACTAAAAAAATTGCTGTAATGTTCCCTTAAGTTAAATTATCTTAAAGCTGTGACACGGATTTAAGTAACTGTGGAGCAGTTTCTCATCAGAATTTTTTGTATGCATGAGAAACATTCATCTTAAACACCTGAAACCATCTTGGAACATGTTACAGAATTCATCACACCAAGAAAGCTGTAAAATAACGAGTCTGATATAATGATTGGGTTTGCTGTAGCTGATCTCAAGGCTCTAAGGAGGTTGACAGAAGCCTAGGGGAATTAATGAAGAAACCACCCACATCTACCTCTGTTCCCAATGTAAGAGTTGGAGTAACAGCCTCTATAGGCCTTTTCCAATGGAAGACCTCTCATTCTTAAACTGGTTTGGTTCGGTTGCCTTACTACCTCGGTGCTTTGTTTCAAGCAGACACCTTTCGAAGACTTTGTGAACATAGAAGATATACAGCTAAATGTCTTTTTGCAATCTGTTAGCGAAGAAGTGGAAAGGGAGAGTGCTGAAGCGAGATGGTGGATCCATGCCCTGTATGCCTTTCTATGCAGCAGAAGAGCATCAAAGCTCTCCGGTTGATGTGGAAAGGGAGACAGTGACGCCATGACAACAGGAGACAGAATCATGCTATAAGAATGATTTGTCCAGAAGGCTATGAGGATGCAACGCAGTAGAGATGGATTTATATGTTTTATCAATATATATACATACATCTCTATTGGGGGTTGTTGCTCATTAAGTGGAAAGTTAATCTCCTTTTTTTTTAAAGAAATGGTTTTTCCATATATTGAGATATGGCACCATAATAATTTTATGCTGTGTGGCAACTCTAGCCTTCTGTATGGTTGTTGTATTCCAGGGCCATACTTTTCCATATCTAATTGTAAATACTGTTATTTAGATTCTGAATGTATAAAAGATGGGAATGTACATTCATTTTAGTTTGTTTTACTAACAGAAAAATAAGACTGGTTGCTTAGCAGAATGTTAGCAAGTCCATTGCTTTCAAGTTAAAACCTCTGCAGCAAACTGTATATGACATACCATACTGATAGTTAATGAATCAATATATTCATAAGGTAAATTGAAATAGTTTATATTTATTTATCATCTCGGTACTACCTTGTCGCGGTTGGTGTGGTCTTGACTACAACACCACTGGATATATATATAATTTAATATAAACATTTAAGACACAATTTTGTATAATCAGAGTCATATCTACATCAGTTGGACGAACTGTTAAGGAATATCAGTGCTTTATCAATATCAATGACTGCTGGAACGAACCAGAGCTGCAGTCAACCATTTCTTTTGAAGCAACTTTCAGTAATTTTTTTGTCTTTAGTAAATGTCCTCAGTTTGTTTAGTGGAGTTATAAACAGATTTTTGATACTTCTGGGAAAAGAAACAGTTGCAAAAAGCCATTTAAAGACTAATAGTCCTCTGTTGAACCCTTTCTCTTTTCAATTCACCAGAGTGAAGCTTTATTTCCAGGAATGTACCCAAATGTCGGTCTGGCTTCTCTAATGTTCCTGCTATGTGTCAGATGAATTTCTTTTTATGCCGCCCATGGCCAGCCTGTTTTATCAGCATCAACAGTTTTCTGTGACCTTGCACAAATTGTGGCTTTGTAGTACAAATAAAGAGAGTTATGAGGTATTTTTTTCACACTGTTGTATCTCAATGCTCCATTCAGTTCAATGACACTTTATGTTATTAAGAAACTTACGTGAAATCGATCTATTTCTGATTTTCTTACTTAACTTTTTCGGGAAAACGATCAGTTATAAATAGTAAAGAAAGACGTTTTAATACCTGGTATGTTGGTGGGTTACCTGAATATTTATTCATCTTTTTATTTTTACCTTTGTGTAATAACTGCAATGCAAAAATAAACTTCCCTTTGGTCTGATTATTGGTCATAAATCTTCTGCTCTGAATTAAGACTCTCTGAAAACAGCCTCTGAGGAGGAACACCACATCTATAGATTTAGGGGTTTACTTATAGCTCCACTGCTGACTTTCCCTGTGAAGAGTCACCATGAAGGAGGAGTCGGAAGTTTCTTGCTCTGGATAATGCTTTTTTTTTACAGAAGGATGATTCATTTCAGGGGTGTAATAAACATCCACGTCAAACCTTTATTGCTTGACTTGAGTCAAGACAAGGCAGTAGGTGTACCTTCAATAGATCTGCTTGTCATAAAATCTAACTTCATTGTATACTAACAAGTTTTCCATGCAAGCTTTCACAGATTGAGCTAACACTGTCTGTCTGGGTGGCTCCATTGAAGCTAAATAGACAGACTTTAATTTGAGTGGATATTTCAGAATGAATCAAAGCCCTGGTAAACAAAGGAGTTATCTCCCACGGAGCGGTCTGCCTCTCTGCTGCCTGCAGTGTCTCATTTGTAGTCCAGGCTTTTGCTGCTGGACTTGGCAGCATCAGCATGAAACACATTGTTCTGCTTGGGACTTTTTATTGGGAACATTATGAGCATTACTCTCACACTTTGCGGTTATTGTCAAATCATTGCAGACCAGGCTATTCTGGAAGAGGACATCATGGAAGACAAACTTAAAATACAGACCTTTGATTGTTTTTTTATGGAAAGCGCTTCATCTCACTTTGTATCTTGAAAAACAAACCAAAATGGCATCACTATTCCTTCATTTGAAATAATCCCTGGTGGACGGCTCACAGTTTAGCAAAAAAATGTCTAAACCCTGAAAGTTGTTTTGGATTTAATTTCAGGGATTTTATGTTTTTTTCTTTCCTTTTAGGTATTTTATAACATGCTTGTGGCTTTAGTTTGTTGTTAGTGACACTTCCAGGTTTCCATTATGTTTACCAGTATAAAAAACCAAGCTAACATTTCACAGTTTTAGATAAAGACAGAAATTAAACATCGAAAATATGGATCAGCAAACAATAAAACAACAATAGTTAAATCTGGTGGTTAACTGGTCCATATTTTAAATGTTTTCGCAGAGTAAGAACCTTTTGCAAAAAAAATTTAAATTAAATTCGCAATACATGCCATCCTAAGAAACTTTGCAGAGACAATTCAGCCAGATCATACGGTCGGATTGGTTCTATCTAAAGAAAACCAGCTGATTGCACCGACTCACTGACTTGAAAATATGTCATTTTGACAAGCGGTTGCACTGGACTCTGCGTTAACAGTTTTGAAAAAAAAAAAAACACTTTGGACCTGTACCTCCTTTCTGATTAAGGAGATAGGTGCTGTATGTTACCACACCACGGTGATGCTAGTTGTGTTCAGGAGCTACCTTGGGATGTAAATGTCCTCCAGGGTTGGGAGATGTGTGCTGGTGATGAATCTGGCAGCCTTTATGACTTGTTGAAGGAATTTTTTTGGTTCTGTGCTGCTGTTGACGCAGATGATAGACCTAAAGGTTATGACAACCTCTATGGAACAGCAGTAGTGTTGTTCCATATGGGTGCTGTACAGTCAAATATTTCTCAGTGTTCTCACTATGACTTTTTTGATCAATGAGATGGTGTTGATCGTGCATGTGAGGTCCTCTGAAATGTTTGTTTTAGGAATGTGAAGCTGGAGACTCACTCCACCTTGTCTTTGTTGGTGGGAAGTGAAAACTTTAGTATTTGTGTTGTTGTCTGAATTGCAGTACATCCATCTCTATACCTCCTCTCTATAG